AATGAAGATATCTTATAATATCATTTTCATAAAATTTTGAAGACCCCTTGCATGACGCAAATAGCTACTGCTTCTCTAACATGATTTTTTAAATGAGAAGATGTGTAAAGCCAACTGCAGTCCTAAACAAGGACCACACTATGAATCGGCATCGTGAGGAGGAGTTTCTTCATGCACCATAAACCGCCCTCTTAAAGTGTACGACCCCATGGTGATTAGTACAGGCTCCAAGCTTTACATCCACCACCATGATCTGATTCCAAAATGTTTCTCATCACTCCAAAAGAAACCCGTATGCAGACACTCGAGCTGTCCCCACTGACCCTTCAAAAAACAAAATGAAACTAAAAAAATCACTGACTGCCACAGTGGCCCTGCAGGACAGCGTAGGTCTGCTCCTTTGGATTTCTGAGACTGAAATCTTCACAGAAGCAGACAGCCTCCTTTTTCTCCCTCGGAGTGGCTGGTGGGTTTGAACTGCCAACTTTCCACAGTTAGCTGCCCAATGCTTACTCCATAGTTCTTCACTAACCCCGGCAACCATATGTTACTTCCCATGCCTATAAGGTGCCAGTTCTGCACACAGGATATAAATCCATCTGAGAGCAGGTGATCGTTGGCATCTCAATGATTTCATTTGTACTGACCAAGATTGGGTCCTTCAACCATTTGCTCCCTCCCCTGACAATTGGGATAAGAAAATTATTTATTTGGGTGTATAGTTGCAAAGAGTATAAAAGTTTAAAATGAGTCTAAAGACTTAGTTGTCTAGAGCATTTGGCTAGGGTTACCAAGGATTTCATAGAAACTAAGTCAAAAGGGTCCGTCCAGGAACATAATCCTGGCTGCATTCTTCCCTTGGGCTCTCTATACAGAATGTTCAGCATTTTCCCCAAGGGCAGGCTGCCCCACCAGGTCGACCCTCCACAGAGGTTTGATCGCCTTCTACCTGCCTCTTGATTTGCATTTCTAGTAAGAGTCGCTCATCACTTGTAGGAGTGTCTGCTAATTTGGGGTGAGTGTAGGACAATGTTATATGGCAGGAAATGATTGGTCTTCCCCCCAGCTAAGGTGAAGCCTCCTCTCTCAAAGTGGTTTTTCATTTGCACAAACAAGCGGGTGGTATATGGTCCGTGGATGCCAGGCAGGCTCACTCCCTGGGGCACCGCAGGGAGGATGTGGGAATGGGAGCTATCACCATGACCACAAGAAGAGAGTGTGCTACCGTTGGTGACGGTGACGGGTGATGGTGATGACGGCTCCACTCTTCTTTTTTTTTCCATTCTAATCCTGTTTATTCAATACAGCCCTTCAATTCCACACAACAGGTACAAACACAACCTAAACACTACAAAGTCGCAAAAATGCAAACAGAAATGTTTAAAGTCCAGACTGTACAACAAGCCAGGTGACAGGCAACAGGCTGGGGTGGCTCCAGCATCCCCTGGTGCTGGCTCACAGCTTGCTCACCAGTCTCAGATGCCCCACTTTTCTTAATGTGATTAAACTGTTGAATTGGATGATACATGGATTACATGCCAAAATATTATTTTTTTTAATTTAAAAAAAAGAAGCCTAAGATGATATTATATGGGAAGTGGGGATCATCTTCTGTGACAAGGAGCCCTGGTGGCATAGTGAATTACGTGGTGGGCTCTAGCCAAAAGATCAGTAGTTCGAAAACACCGGCTGGGAAAGATGAGGCTTTCTACTCCTTTCCAGAATGAGTTTGGGAAACGCACAGGGGTCGTTCCACCCTGTGATACAGGGTCATGGTGAGTCGGACCTGGCTCCCCAGCAATGACAGTTATGGTAGCAATACTGCTTACCACGATGGGAAAAGCCACAGGAGAGGTATGAAAGATGACTTAGTTCATTCTTTCATAGAGCCAGGTAATGCTGCACTGTTTGGCTGCTCCGTGCTCTCGTGGACCACTTAGCAGCTGACAGAAGGGAAGTGTTTTTGCGGGAGCTTGCCACAGGGACACAAATCGAAGTCTCCACGGCAGCCGGCACCTACCGTCAGACGTGTCCGTCTGGGGAGTGTATCCCTCGGAGAGGTTGAAGGTCCCGTTATCCGTCCAGGAGACCTCTGAGACATCTGTGTCCGACACGGATAATTCTTTGGCAGCTCCCGTGAGGCTAATCTGCGCCAACATAAGCGAGACACCAGGGGTGCTTGTAATTAAATGCTTTGCGATCATCTTTCCAAAACCTCCCACAAAGGCCAGGCAACATTTAAGCACCAAAAGCCAGGAGATCTAGAGGGTTTCTTTTCCCTGCAGAAGTGGTCTGACGAGCTCTAGCAGGAGGGGGCTCCTGGGAGGAAACCCACTTGGCCTAGATGCCTGGGAAGCCCCGGCCAACAAAGGACATGGGAGAAGCCGGGAACAGAAAGGACAGTTACCTTGGGGCAAAGTGCTGAGAAGTCTAGCTCGCTGTCATCCTTGAGACATTTTTCTTGGTCTGCTTCTGGTGAGAAAAAGAGGGGTGGGGGTGTGCACTGAGCTTCCTGGCTCACTCAGACAGACTGTGGTCATTTCTTATTACGGACAGATTCTTACACACACCTTCCTCATACTCTCTAACACCTCCACGTAATTACCTGTCTTTCCCTAACAAGCACCACATGTTAGCCAAATGTTCGGTTTACAAAGGAAGCGGTCTCTTACGTCGATGGTTCGGAGCGGAGGACCTGCGCTATCAGCTTCCCTGGAAACGTGTTCAGAGCACAGACTCCCAGGCCCCATTCTCTCCCTCTGCTGCCACTGTGTTGACTCGGACTCCACGTAAGGCAGAGTGGAACTGCCCTCCTCTCGACTTGGCGAGTCAGAAACTCGGCAGGAGGGTGGGGGGGGCAGCGATCCAAGCTTTCATGAGCCTTCCATGGGATTCTGACCAGGCTCCTGTTTAAGGACAGCTGCTCAATTGGATTGTGGGGCAGACCATGCAGCAGAAAAGATCCCATTCGCTCCTCCTCTCTTCATTGCTCAGCCCTTCCTGCCCCTGCTTCCCTGGCCTCCCCCCCCCTCTCCTACGGGGTCAGCTGTTTCATTGGCAGGTCTCCAACCCCAAATCAAACAATTGCAACCACGCACACAGATCAGCAATAGAAATACGCAGAGCTGTTCAGCCCTTCCTCCTTATTTGGATACGAGGCCAGTTTCCTCGAGGACATGTTTGACAAGCCAGTCAACATCTAAGACTATGCTCTTTGGGGGGAGGCTCTTCTGTAACAGGGCTTCTTATGAGGCTGAAAGGCAACTGAGGGCAGTGACGTCACAGTAAACTCCACTAACGGAACCGAAGTCCCGCTGGTACCTACCGGATCTCTCACATTTCTTCTGGTGAAGATATTCCCCGATTCCAAAGTCGAGTTTCAACAGAACCGCCTTGATGGTGCAGTAGAGTCGCTGCCCGATGTCATGACACTTGAACAGTGGGCACAAAAACGCACAGAGCACTGGAACAGAAGGAGGGGGACCTGGACGTGAGATGACCTTTCTTTCAAGGGGCTCCGTCCGTGTCTGAATTCCATGAAAACACACTTCAGCTCCTTACTGGGAGACGGGAGTGTGTTTCTTATGGGGCGTATGAGGGGGAGGCGTGAGAAGCACAGCTCGCTGATCGCTTGATGGACATCAAGTACCATCGAGAGGACTGCGGACGTCCACGCCTGCCTGTCACTCCTCCTGCCACTCTAAAGCCTCCGCTTATCTACAGGGATGAGGAGCAGCGGTGTCCAGCCGGGGAGTCCAGCACGAGCTGTTTCCTCCCTCATCGAGCACTCATCCCTCCTCCGGAAACGATGGTGGGGTGGTAGGGGGCGTCTGGCTGACCGAGAAGGGGATGCCCCTCCCCCCAGTGTGCCCCACACATGAGGCCCGAGTTGCACTATACTTACGCAAGAGATAGCTGAGTATCACCCCAGGAATGTAACTTCCCAAGACCGTAAAAAACGTGCACACGCTGCACACCAGGAGGCAGAACTAGAAGGAGAGAGACAACCAGGGTCAGCTACGCCCGATACCAAGGTCCTGCGGGACTGGGGGGAGGGGGGCACACACACAGTGGGTGTGGAGCACTGTGTCATCCAGGCACCCCGGGGTCCCCATGACTAAAGCGCTCAGCAGCAAACCCAAAGGTCTGGCAGTTTGAACCCCCCCTGGAGAACAATGAGGCAGTCTGCTTCCCAAAAGATTTACGGCTTTAGAAACCCTGGGGGGTGGCAGTTCTCTATCTCACAGGGTCACCATGAGTCAGTATCCGTCAACAGCTGATACATGGTCTACAAAAACCCACTGCCCTCGAGTGGAATCCAACTCATACCAACCGGGTAGACCTGACTGTAACGGCTCCACTGGGCTTCCCACTGTGTGGATCTTTACAGGAGCAGAAAACCTCTCTTTTCTCCTTTGGAGTGGCCGGTGGGTCTGAACCACCAACGTTGCTGTCAGTAGCTCAGCATTGAACCCACTCACCACCAGGGCTCCTCCTATGACCTATAAGGTGAAGGAACATTCTTTTCAAACGGCATTTTGTTTTGTTTTCCACTAGGCCTGACTCGTGGCCCCTGGGTTCGGCCGGCTTTAGTCTAGTTGACCTCTGACTAAAAGCGATTGCGATTGCGAGGGTCTGGGGCTAGTGTCGGTCTACAGAGAAAAAGGACTCCCCCCTTCCCTACCTCCACGGGTCACGCCTGTGGCCATTATCATCACGAGGCACACGAGAAGAGGAAGAACACAATCCCAGACACGCCTGTGACTTAGAGTCACTGCAGGGTAACCAAACCCGCAGTGCCATATGCCCACATGCCCATCAAGAGTCACAAGCACAGGGAAACACGCCAGAGACAGATGAGAGGCATTTGTGCACATGCACACGCACAGTATACACGCGCGCGGAGGAGAGGGCTTCAAAAAGTTCGTGGAAAAGTGGCGGTAAAATATAATATTTCCACACACTCTGAAGTGTGCCACTGGAGAAAGAAACGTGTGCATGTACCTCTGAGCAATCACTGGTCATGAGCTCGGGGAGGGAGGCGGGGAGGAGACCTAGATAGTCCGCTGACTTTGACTCTGACCTTTGGCAAGCGTTTACTCAGGCACCAGCTCAGGGAGCAAAGTGAAGAGCTCTTTCTGACACGGCAGAGGCCCTCGGGAAGGGTGTCAGGTGTAAGAAGCAAACTGCAAAAGGAGAGGCCGCCAGAGTCTAAAGAACAACCAGGTCTTCTTGATAACGACAATGCGAATTACCTCCATCAAGAAGAAAGCAGAAAATAGTAAAACCGGAAACAACTTTAAAATGGGTCACAAGGGAGATACAATGATAAGGGGAGTTGGCCAAGACTACAAGTCTTTAGAGAGTAGAAAGCCTCGTCTTTCTCCCACGGGGCAGCTGGCATTCTGAAGCCTGCTAAGAGTTGCTTGAATGACATGGGTAACGTCAGCAGTTCAAAACCACCAGCTGATCTGAGGGAGAAAGATGAGGCTTTCCACTCCGGAGGAGAGTTACAGTCTTGGGAACCTGTCCTATAGGGTAGCTATGAGTTGGGTCAACTCGACGGCAGTGAGTTGAGTTACAAGTTGATCAAGGAGCCCTGGTGGCACAGTGGGTGAGGCACTGAGCTGCTAACCACAGGGGCCGGTGGTTTGAACCCAGCAGTCGCTCCAGGAGAGAAAGACGAGGCTGTCTACACCTGTAAAGATTTAAACCCAAGGGTCAGTTCTACACAGCCACGTAGGTTCGCCGTGCGTTGGAACTGACTGCACGGCACCGGGTTTGGTGTGGTTTTTCTCGTTTACACGCTGCTCTCTTCCAAGTGTAGTGGGCACTGCGGGGCACACACAGCCAGCGCCTGCGCCGGGGGACTTGCCTTGCCCGGGCTCTGCTGCTTAAAGAGAGACATTTCCTGGAGGAAGAGGTTCACGTTCTCCCAGGATTCTGCGATGCAGTGGCTGAAACTGGTTCTCTCATCCGGTTTGGAATCGACAACTTCCCAGCTAAAGAGAAAAGACAGGAGGAGAAAAACACATCATTGGCCCTGTGTTTTGGATGCATCTTCCACCACCCATGGAGTCCAGCATGCTTATCTTGCATCCCTTCTGCTGGCCACTGGCTCTGGGAAAACAGGAGTAAGACGGCCTCATTAAACAACGGCCGTGTTCAGAGACACGGCACCGCTAGTAGCACAATGAAATCACCAGCTACACCCAGGGGAATGCTGTGAGGGAGAAGAAAGGACAGGTGGAGACCATGGGACAACTTCTCCAAAGGAGTCAGGTGTAGGCTGAAATCTGACATAGGGTGGGGAGTTGGCCACGTGGATCCAGGCAGTTGCACGTGGACCGAGAACACACCTGGAGGGGCTCATCTGTTGAACTTGCCACAACGGAGCGGGTGAAGAACAACAGTGCACGGTGCTGGGGAGGAGGGAGAAATCCCGGCTTTACAGTTAGGACTGGGGAGTCGTGGCACTTTAAAAAGTGTACTATTGATTGAACTTCCTATTGTGTGAAATGGGTCAAAGCTTACGGAGCAGAGCATCTGTTTCCCCCTCGACAATCCCTCCCCCTTTTCATTTGGGCTTATACACTGCCATCCCCTCCATGCAGCGGGGCAGTGCTTCTGACACAGAGGGCTTGGCGTGCATGTACATGGGAAGATGAGGCAGGAAGTACTGCTACGGGATCAGAGAATCCTTTCTGAAATAAAAATACCCAAATGTGAGGCGGCTGTTTCTCAGCTTACCCTCTGTCTAAATGGATACACTTCTGAAAACCCTGCCTCCGTTTCTCTAACCCTTTGCCGTCATCTCCATCAGGAGAGACCAGTCCCTGGAGAAGGATGGCGTGCTTGGTGAAGTAGAGGGTCAGCGAAACAGAGGAAGAGCCGCGATGAGCTGGATTGTCACAGTGGCTACAAGAGTGGCCTCAGACACAGCACCCATGATGAGGGGCGCAGGACTGGGCAGCGGTCCCTTCTGTTGTGCACAGGGTTGCTATGGGTCAGGGCCGATTCAATGACACCCAACAACCCCAGCCGTTCCCTGAAGAATTCTGTGCTCTTGGATGCACATCACGCCCAAATATCATTTGGGGCATCCTTGAGAGATGCACATTGTGTTTCCGTTGTGCTCTGAGTTTAAGGGACAAAAAGAAGTCTGAACGGGGCAAGATCAGGGCTGTATAATGGGTGGGGAAAGGTAGTCCAACAAAATTCCCATAGGACATCCCGACTGCCCTCAAAGAATGAACAGGTGCATTGTCGTGAGTCCCCGAAGTCAGTCACCGTAACCTTCTGAGCTGACCCCACTGGTAAACTTCTGCCCAAAACATACTATTTAAAATCGTCTAATTGTGATTCACAGTGCATACCCTAAGAAACAGGCTTTTCCCCTGTATCTTCGAGCAACTCTATCCTTAATGGTGTCCCTGCAGTTCAGTTTAAGTGACTGGATTATTCCAGAGCCTGGGTGCTGTGGTGGGTTACAAGTCGGGCTGCTCACCACAAGGTCAGCGCTTGGAATCCACCAGCAGCTCCCTGAGAGAAAGGCGAGGCTCTCTACTCCCATAAAGAGTTACCGTCTCAGGAACCCGTGGGGGCAGTTCTACCCTGTCCTGTGGGGTCTCTCGGAGTCCGAACGGACCCGGTGGCCCTGAGTCTGAGTTTTTCATAGTTCTTTGGAAACCCCTGGGTGGCGCACAGGGTCCGCACACTTGGCTGTCATCCTAAAGGGCTGGAGGGTGTGTCGGCCCAGGGCCATCTTATAACGAGGGCCTGGTGGTGCGCTTCCACTCAAATCCCTGGGGAGCACAGCTCTCTTCTGAGACACAGCAGGTTGTCGAGACTGAAGAGCCAACCTGGCCGAGGTCCCTGGTTCTTCGTGACATGGTTGAGAATGGGAAAGGACCGTGAATGCCACCTTTTCGGGTTCCCTTAAGACGAGGCGGTTGGAACCTGAGTTCACCCAGCTGGTTTGGGGCAAAGTCCAGCCCTAAAGCAGACGCCACAGGTGCCAAGGACAGTTCTGGGGCCATCAACACATTCAAAGCGTGTGGCAGCCAGGCCAGGCAAAGGAGCCAAGGTGCAGATTTGGACACAGCCCACTCAGAATCCAGGACATCTTGGGACTACACTTCCCAGAACCTCTTGTTGTCCCCACGGAAGTTAAGTTCCCGAGAATCTCCTTGGCGTGGGAGTGGGGAAGCTTAAAAAAAAACCCCGTTGGTGTGCCTGGCGGGCGGGGCAAGAAATACAAGGCCAGCCATTCGGGCTGATAAGGTTTCCTTCCTCCTAAAACAACCCCCAAATCAAACTCCCTTCCAGCCAGTCTCTTCTGACTCACAGGGACCCTACCGGCAGGTAGAAGTGCCCCTGTGGGTTTCCTAGACTGTGATTCTTGACAGGTAAAGAAAGCCGCCTCTGTCTCCCACTTCTTCCTAGGAGCCTCTACATAAATTTCTCCTGCGATGGCCTATGTCTTTCAAACGTAAATCTTTCTCTCCATGAGGTAAGAACCTGAGTTCCAGCCACAGCATCTTTTCACGGGCCACAGGTGCAAGTTCAGGGTGCAATGGCTCCTGCAGAGCCTCCGCCAGTGGCAGGGCAGCACGATGCTGAGCCCGCCCTTGCCAGGACAGGGCGTGTCTCCTCTGCGGGATCCCAGCTCCCAGCGGAAACGCCTGTGCACGCCAGAGGCTGGTGACGTTGCTCGCACGCAGGGTTGCTCCATCACGAAGCTCTCGGTTTTCCTAGAGAGCCCTGGGGGGAGGCTCCTACGCAGAGAGCGATCTGTGAATACTGGACGGTGCTGGGGAACAGATCTTTTACACGCAGCGTGGCTGTCTTCCCACCCCGCTTGGCACTGCTGGCTGGGCCACGGAAGGCCCAGCGGACATCGGAGGGGCAGGGAATGACGGTGCTTAAAGAGTTGTTCGAGTGCTCTGTGCCTGATGCCTTACCAATGGCTTCTGTATTAATCTCCCAGGGGTTATTCTTTCCCATTTTAGTTTTAGAGAAAGCATGCGTTCTCCAGGATCAATGGGAAGTAAAGTCTTTGTTCCACTTTCCCTTCCGTCTATCCTTTCTCCCACCTTGCTTTTCCCTTCCTCCCTTCCTTCCATCTGTCCCTCCCATCTTTCTTTCCTTGTTCTCTCCTGCCTTCCAGCTGGCTCCCAACCATCACCTTCACTCTGGCGGTGAGATCAACACAACCAGAGTCTCCCTCTGATGACCACCCTCCCCCAAATCACACAAGCATGGGGGGTCCTGTTCCAGTGGTTTTAAAGGGGAAGTCGCCACTACCACCTCCAGCCCCTTCTAAAGTACAGTCCGCCAGTTGCACCGTGGAGTACGGTTGAACCCCTAGGGCACTGCTGCGTGGCAGCTATCTGCTCAGCTTCTAACGGAAAGGCTAGAGGTGCCCGTCCAACCAGAGGCTCTTTGGGAGAAAGGCCTGGGGTTCTACTTCCGGAGAATCAACCACCGAAAACTCTTTAGGACGCGGTTCTGTGACATATGGTGGGCCGCCAGGAGCCACAATTGGCTGGATGACAACTGGTCTTTAATTTAGGGCAGTGACTGGCACCTGTGACTACTTTGTTTTCTGTGGGCTTGCCAGCTGCCCACTTACTTGGGTTTCACTCTGTGTACTGGGGAAGGTGTGTGTTCCTACCCTCTTAGCGGGTCTCAGGAAGGAAGGCAGCGGACCCTAAGAGTCGGAGTCCGCTGCCTGAGAGGGTTTCCAGGCCACGAAATAGGTGAAGAGCCAGAGCTGAGGAGGCCATGGGGGCTGGAGCTTTTAGAACAGGGTACCAGCAAGGTCAGTGCTGCCCAGAGGGAACCCCAAAGATCTATGGAGACTTCCTCTGCAAAGTCCGGGTGCCCAGTGCATGTGTGCGAGGCAGCTGGGGCCCAGAGAGGGCCACCTGAGGGGCGCCAGGGACCAGGGGCCTTCTCAGGGCTGAAAAGAATGCCTGTTCCCATCCCCTCAGCCAGAAAACCCAGGATTCACTAGGCCTGGGCCAAAGGACTCAGAGGGGGCTTGTTTCCCCAAACCGCATTGCTGCGAGTGAAGTCCAACTCATCACCCTATCAGACAAAGTAGAACTATCCCATAAAACATTCCAGGGCCGTAATCTTTATGGGGCAGTCTCCTCATGAAGCCACTAGTTCTCCCCTATAGGACAGGGTAGATCTGCCCCTGTGGGTTTCTGAGACCACAGAGGATGTGATAGTTATATAAGTCCATGTCAACTTGAAGATACATAAAAGTGTACGGGTGGAGTTCAGCCTGTCAATCAGGTCATAGCCTGATGGTGACTTCTTGTGGTTGTGGCCTTCTCATAAGGAGGGCCCTGGGGGCTTCCCTCCCACCACAACCTGTCTTTACCTTCCTGCTGGCTTACCCTGGTTGCTGCCAGAGCCACCGCCATTGGATCCACAAGACTTTGCACCCACCAGCCTGTGATCCTCTTGCATTCTACATCATTGCAGGTGGCTGTGTGAGTCTGAAGACTTGGTGACTAGTATCGGACTTATGGACTTGCGGTGGACTGGGCTGGGAAGTTTTCTTGATATAAAGTTCTTTCTTACACATATGTGAATGTCACTGAATTTGTTTCTCTAGTCAATCCAGCCTAACACACAGGAGTAGAAAGCCTTGTCTTTCTTCCGAGGAGCGGTTGATGGTTTCAAACTGCTAACCTTGTGGCTCACAGCCCAATGCATAACCAGCATGCCTCCAGGGCTACCTCTGAATATTAGGTCCTTGCTCTACTAACCATAGTTCACCCTGGCCTGGAAGAAACACCACCTAGGCCCTATTGAACAAGTCTATAATGTAGGGCCCAGAGGGGACAAACCAATGAAAAAAGCAATCTAACTTGAAGAATAATTTTTTTTTGGGGGGGGGGGATTTGTTTTATTTTGTTACATAGCAAATACACTGACCCCAAACTCTCAAATGAGAATGGGAACAGTTTTTTTCCTTTGTTTGTAA